CTTAATCATATATGCCTTTTAAATAGTTCTCTCCCTCATCTGTTTCAATGAAGTATTCATTATTTATCCCATCTTTCTCAGTCTTCCCTCAACCCTGATGTCAGTCCTGTTTTACAACAGTGGCCTTATGCAATATTTGTCCTTTAGTGACTGAGATATTTCACTCAGCATAATGTCCTCCAGGGTCACCCATTTTGAATACTATTTCATGAGTTTCTTGTTTTTCAATGCAACATAGTATTCCATTGTGTGAATATACCACAGTTTCACTATCCATTCATTTGTTGATGGGCACTTGGGTTGTTTCCAACTCTTTGCTATTGTGAACAAAGCTGCAATAAACATGGGTGTGCATATATCTGCTTGGGTGGTGGTTATGGTTTCTTTAGGGTATATTTCCGGTAGTGGAAATGCTGGGTCAAACAGTATTTCTATTTGCAACTTTTTTGAGAAAGTTCCATACCGCCTTCCACAGTGGTTGCACCGTTTTACACTCCCAACAATGGTGAATAAGGGTTCCAGTTTCTCCACAACCTCGCCAGCATTTGATGTTTGCCATTCTGTTAAATTTTGCTATTCTTACCGGGGTGAGATGACACCTCATGGTAGAATCATGCTCTTTTAAGAACTGGCTATGTGGGATTGAAGTGACAACAGCAGCTTGAAAGAGTAGATGAGAACCTTAAACAACAAATGTTGTCTGAAAAGATAAAATAATAAATATTTTGGTCTTTATGGGTTATATGGTCTCTGTTGCAACTATTCAGCTCTTGTGTTGTGGGAAAGCAGCCATGGACAATAAATAAAGGAATGAGGGTGGCTCTGTCCCAATAAAACCTTATTTTAAGAAAAAAGAGCAGACTTAACTTGCCATGGGCCAAAGTTTGCTGACTCCTAGAAAGAATAACCAAAGTTCATTCCATTTTTTCCTCCAGTAAATGAGATTATGAGGACCTTCCTCTTATCTTCTCACAACAGAAAATGATTTTTAAAAAATCAACTTTAAAAAATAATACCACAAAGAGTCAGTCATCTAAACAGAAAATATCATTAACAGAGGGGGAAAGAAAACGGAAAGGTATTTTTCCCTATCTGTTTCATAATCTTTTTCAATCAGGCTGCATTTTTGTACAAAACACCAAAAGAATAACTGGAGAAAGCTGTTTGGACAACAAAGGAGAAAGAGCCCTTAAATGCAAATGTGCTATTTTACTCAAAGGCAAATACCATCATTGTCTAAGAGTTTATTTTGGAATATTGAAGAAACATGTACAGATTGAAAACAAGTAACTGTTTCATGTGCAGCAACTTCTATTAAAGATCTCAGTTCTTTGCATTTCAACTAAAATTTCAAAATATGTGAACTATGTCTGATTGTATCTTAGCCACTATCAATGCAGACTCTTGTACAAATAAATTGTAAGGCTACTGGGAAAACAAAGAAGAGCATAGTTCAGTGGGAATCACAAACCACTATGTCCTGAGAGAAGGTTTATAGCGAAGAGTTACATACAGAACGAGATGAGGAAGGCTTTCCTGTCTCCAATGGACCAATGATAATAGATTTCCATGCTTGTGTTGCTTTTAGGTGCCGTCCAGTAGAATACTACTCAAGGCAACCCTATGAACAACAGATCTGAATCTCGCTTTTTGCCTCCACCATCCTCACAATTTCTGTCATGCTCAAGACCATAGTGGTTGAGGGAAGACTGTTACATTTCAAAATCCAGTAGCATATTCTTTACAAGATTGTTCATCTTGAAACTGACAATACAAACAAGAGCACCTTAAAAGAGAAGATTTATACAATTATAGAACAATCAATATATTATTAACTCTTAAACAAAATTAAAGATCCCTGGTGGTACTGGAATAAAGCACTTGAAAGCTAACCATAAGGTTGACAGTTCAAACCCATCAGTTGCTCAGCAGAAGACTTGGCAGTCCACGTCTGTAAGTACTTACAGGCTTGAAACACTATTAGGCAGTTCCACAGACTCCCAAAAAAACAGATAGACAGATACATCCTGGGCAAAGTACAGCCACAGTGCTCCTTGGAGGAAAGCATGACAGAAGTTCACCTTACATACTTTGAGCATGTTGTTAGGAGAGGCTATTCCTTGAAGAAGGACATCATGCTTGGAAAGGTGGAAGGTCAGCGAAAGAGAGGAAGACCTTAAACAAGATGGACTGACACAGTAACTGCTGCAGTGGGCTTGAGTAGGTCAGAAATGATGAGAATGGCACAGGATAGGACAGGGTTCAGATCTATTGTTCAGAGAGTCACTAGGAGTCATACTTGACTCAACAGCTCCCAACAATGGTGTCCTACAGGCTGCCTATGAGATTTACCAACTTGAACAGCAATGGATTTGGACTTGGGTATTTTTAAATAAAGCTGGTAACTGTAAGGCAAATATGTTGTTGTTGTTGTTATGTGCCATCGAGTCACAGGAGACTCATAGCGACCCTATGAAGGAGAGTCTTCAACATTTGTGTGTCTCTCATCCTCTCTCCAGAAGGCAAATATAGAATTAATAAAAATAGGAAGAGTCACGATAAATAACATTTAAATCCACTAGAAAAATGTAGGCATTCTCATACACTATATAACTAGTGTACAAGTATTTAAAATAAAATTATCAAGGTTACTAAGGAAAAAAATGAACAAATCACACATCAGAGGAATTAAAAAGCACGTTTTTCTCAAGGACACATGGAATGGTTTTAAAAACTGACCACATTAAAGCAATAAAATAAGTCTCAGTAAATTTCAAAGACTCTTCAACATAACATTATTTTAACCACAGTGCAATTAATTTAGACACCAATCACAAATTAATTTCTTTTTAATTCCCCCATATGTTTAGAAATTAAACAGCATATTTCTAAGCACAGGAAATCTCAAGGCTATGAACATCTGATTTACATACTTACAAACTGTAGTTCAACTTGATAGCACCTAACAACAAGAACTTGCAGTTATAAACCATCTCAATAAGACACTGTGTTAAATATTCAAGGCACAAACAATGGTTCTAATAGCAAACAGATAGCACTTTACAATGTGCACCAAACTGTTACCATTAGTTAGGAGTTCTGAGCCCTCGGGGACATGTTGCTGCTGTTGTTATGTGCCCACTATGACTCATCATAATGACCCTAAGAACAATAGTTCTGCACCTTGTCCTATTCTGAGCCACTCTCGCTGCATACTGCCTAAGTTATGAAGCTGCAAAGGGAAAGGTTGGCAGTTCGAAACCACCAGCTGCTCTGAGGGAGAAAAACCCAGTGTTCTATAAAGACTTACAGCCTTGGAAACCCATTAAAAGGCCAGCTGGAAGGGATTCAATGGCAACAGACTGGATTTTAGATAGGATCTTTTTTTAAAAAAAAAAAAAAAAAACAAGCACAGCATCACCGTTGCAGTTAGAAATTGGCAGCCTGGAAAGGGAAAGGAACAGGTAGGGAGTAGATGTGTCGTTAAAAAAAAATAAAGGTACTCCTTATACTGGGGTCCCTGGAGGAACTTGGTCCATTTCAACCCAATAGGAATCAGAAGATCAAAAGCGATTTGGGATGGCCAGAACCATCAGGAGCAGAGGGAGGAGGAAGGTCCAGGGGGTGGGGGGAGTGTTTGACAACTGGGGTGAAGGCATTGCCCTCCCCCTGCTGGGATCCCTCCAGCCTGCAGCCCAAGGGCTTGCCCTCCAGGGAGATGACAGCACTGCCCCTCAGTGTCTCTGCCAGAGTGCAGCGGTCCCTGCCCTCCTCACAGCAGTTTGCTTGTAATTCGGGCTTGATCCCTGTCAGCTTCTTCTCGATGGCATCCTCGGAGCTAGCACAGATCATTTTGCTCTTAAGGGGAGCACACTCAGGGGCCCAAAAGATAAACACCAGGTCCTCCTTCTTGCTCTCCTTGGTCTCATAAGCTGCATCATACAGGGTGCAGCGGCAGTCTTTGTCCGGCAGCATCTTGACAAGCCACTTACTTACCACCAAGCCACCAGAGCTTCCTCCTCTTAAACCTAGCACAAGCAATTGACTGACTTCCTTATCAATATGTTAAAATCACTGTTAAAATAAAATTTTATTTTAAAAATCCTACCATATATAGCTAACAATGGTAGAAATAATTTTAAAATATTTAAGTCAATTTGGTAGGGTCTAAAAAACTGCAAAGTTTACAAATGTCTAAATCCTACAATTCTACTTTAGACATACGATTTTTTTTTAATTCTAAAAACACTCCAATTCATTTCTGAAGAGTCAGAACAAACACACAGTTGACCCTCCATTGGATTTCCTGAGCTGGTACAGCAGGAGACTGCCTATCTTTCCACTGTGGAGCCACTGATGGGTCTGCACTGCCAGAGAAATGTGGCCTTTGGGTTTACAGCACTGCTCCCGACAGACTATGTCACCAAAGCAACTCTTACATTCTCATCAACAGAGGATTAGTTAATAAACCATGGGAGTCTAAGCCACAGAATACCATACAGTCATTGAAAGGAATGAGGTAGGCTAACAATGATAGCTAATATTATTAAGTAATAAGCAGTACTATAAGCATTTCATATATATCAACACATGTAATCCCAGGGTGAATCATTATCTACATTTTACAGATGAAGGAATAGAAACACAGATATTAGATAATAAGTAAATCATTCAGATTTAAAAATGACAACGCTATCTATCTTTGAATTCAGGCGGACACAAGGGAGAACTTACACAATTTACCATTAAGCCATCACACCTCCTGAATGTCATGGTTAGACTTTTATGTGAAATACCATGGACAGGCTGTGCATAAATGTCTGTACACTCACAGAAAAGTGATAGAGCTGAGGCTAAAGTGTTGATGGTCATTACGTAGGAATGAAAAGAAGAATGTTCATCAGATCTGAGCTCTACTGTTGGATGGAAGAACACGTTTATGTGCACTTCCAGTGCCATTAATACAGCAAAACCCCCAAATAATCAAAACAACATCTGACCTTCTTCTGGTGAGGATGGTTTTGTCCCGTTTACTTTGTTCGTAACCTTGACCCTGGGTTTCGGTTCCTTCCTCTTCTCCAAATCCTTAACTGAAAGAGAACAGTAGAAATACATCAATGTGTTGTATTAAAGTCTACAAGAAAATATACAATGAGTTTGTGGTAAAACCTCGAAAACTCTTGAGTATCAAAAAGAGATCTGCTCCAGGGTAGAGCTTCTTTCCCAAAAATTAGAACTGATGTTTTATTTTGTTATTCAAACTTGTCTTGTGGTGATATGGAGAACATGGGAGAACTGCGCCAGCTGAGTTCTTAGCCAGATGGATACGGATTGAATTCTTCATAATGGCTGCAAATTGAATAATCACCTTCCTAAATGAGAGAGCTGTGACCAGGAGGATAAGTAGTTAAATCATATGCCACAAAAGTAGAGTTAGCACAGAAGCCAGGTCATATCTAGATCTCTGTGATGCAGCCCCTGAGTTTGGCCTACTCTGCACAGAGATGTCAGTTTTGAATGGCTTCCTTTCACTCTACTCTACCTGGAATGGAAAGTGGAAAGGCAAGCCATCCTCCTCAAGCAAAGGACTAGCTCAGGTACAAAGAGACTATCATGAGCAAAGTAGCATTAATTGAGATAATACTATGCAACATCATGCTCTGAATTGATCTGCACAATAATTGGTACATTTTTCACCCATATTTCAGCTGAGGAGACTGAGGCTGGAAGAAGCTGAGTTGCTAGGCCACATGGGTGGCTGATTTGGAATCATATGTGTAGGAGATAAAATACATTTGCCACCTTTTTTAGTAATAAAAGTGCTTACTTCTCAAAAAATTTTTAAAGAGGAAAAAGGCATGAACTTTAAAAAAAGGCTAAGTTTTAGCAAATGCTATGGCAGAAAAAAAATCTTCAAAATACAGATATTCTTTCTCACGCTTCCCTGTGTGTCTGAAAAGGACTCATAAAAACAGCCTCACACACACAAACCCACACATACACCTCCCCCAAAACAAAACCCAGCCTCAAAAAATAAATGAATGAAATATAACGTACATGAAATACTACAGGGAAATGTACATGCATGAAACACAATGTGTATGAATGATAAAAATATTAATTTGGAAAAATATGAACTCATGACAATTCCAAGCCTTTACACCGGTTGCACACTTAGAGGGAAGGTCATTTCCCTCGATCTGACTGTGAATGCTTCTGAGGGAGAACAGCCCACGCTGCATCTGCCAGGCAAATACGTAACAGAAATGCAAGCTGGGAAAAGAGGCCATCCAAGCAAAGCCGGCTTCATTTCATTCTTACATAACCAATCCCTCTGTCCTGCTAATGAAAACAACTTAACAGCTATAAAAATTTAAAATGCTTACTTATAATTTATTCAACTAAACATTTAGACTGTTTCACTAAGAGTATTTCAGCAGCTCAAGGAAACAGAAGATAACTACATTTTCTTTTGAAATCCCTTAAGTAAGTAGCTGCTGTGAAAGTTCTTTATTGTGTTTCTTCATAGACCCAATCAGTGGAATCTTCTACATGATCCATCATGATATCTCAGATAAAAGTAAAGTGATTCACTATCCTTTTCAGGGCTTCTAGCAAATCTCCCCCACCCCGCAAATAAAGGTTCTTTAATTCACCCATGGGGAAATATTGGAAGCCACATATTTAAGTGTGATGCCAACAGCATCAGACAAGAAGGCTTGTGTGTCCTGAAAACAACATAAAGACCACTTCCAGAGCTTCCAGACATCGTGGGCTGCAAATGCCCATAACAATTAAAACATCTGGATGCCTTGCTCATAGCTGGATTTGCCAAATCTGTTTATATAGAAATTTTAGCAATGAAGCCTTTGAGATTTTTGAAAATCATATTGAGGGTTAGTTTTAGAGGTAATCTCTTTAAAAGCTACAGCCTAAAACAAACAAAAAAAACCACACCAACCCTACCTGAAATTTTATCTAGAATGTACATACATACATGTGTGTGTGTGTATATATATATATACATATAATCAATGTAGATGTATAAATAGATGCATAACATACATCAGATGAAAGGGTGACATAGGGATGTAAATGAAATAAAATTGGTCATGAGTGGTTAAAGGTTAAAGCTGGTTGCAGGTGGGTTTCATTATACTATTCCATTTATATTTTCATTTGATTTCACACTTCCAAAGTAATACTATTATTTTGTTTTTTTAAAAGATCTCTATTATAACAATGAGGAAACACAGACATTGGAGTAGGATATGTCATACTTTTTGGCATGTAGGAGATACGAAAGTAAACAGAAAATTTCTGTCACTAGATGGTAAGATCCCAGGGTCAGGGCTCCACACTCTTCAGACCAATGACACTGGACTACCATGTTTTATACAAATAACATGTGGGTATGTTATAGGTCTTTCCCCCAAATATTCTATGTGTATTGTATGAGCCTCATATGCACATCTGCTGTGTACTTGGTTGGATTATATGTGAAAATATGCTAAATGTCTCTTGTGTTCTTCCAGTTATAAGACTTTACAGTGTAAGTCCCTGAACCTATAGGTCACAGAATCAAGCTCAAGGATGAGATTGAATCCTCCAATGGCACACGCAGATAAATACATACTTCGGAATTGGCCTTGGGCTGGCTTGCTTTCCTTGTCTTTATTGTAAGCGATAAGTTGAACCGTGTAATTCTGATCTGGCATAAGACCTTGAATAATTGCTTTAGTTGCAGTGTTCTGGAGATTCAACTGGCTAGTTTTTCCACCTACAGGAAAACAGAACAAGAAGAAAATAAAATTCCATGCAATTAGGTTAACAGTGGAGAGCAAGTAAACTGTTTAAGCCTTAATGAGGATTTTTTTCCAAGGTGAACCCTTTCTCAATGACATACGATGCAGGCATGCGCAACACATGAACTGTACCATGATTCTCATGCTTGTTTTCAGTTGTACCCTCTGTAACAGACAACCTCACCAGCTGTCTCAGTCAGACAGCACACAGTCATGAGACTCTTTCATCCTCACACACTATTGCTCTATGAAATAAGAAAGGCTGTAATACAGTAGGAGCCAGGAAGAGTGGCAAGGTCCCAGGAGCAGATATAATAAAAGATACCTACTTAAAAGCAAAGCTAGAGGAGAGAGGGAGCAGACTGCATCTAATTATCCACACTGAACGCTTTCCAAAGCCTCTCAGCAGTGACTCAGAGGATCCTTGAATTCTGAGCCATTTAAACACTTTGAATCTGACCACACTGGCTCAGATGCTGAAGGAACCACTCAGAGTCTGGCTGCCTGAAAGGAAGCTTCAAAAACTCAACCACACTGCAGTTGAGTCGGAACCAACTCATAGCTAACCCTCCAGAGGGTTTTCAGAGACAGTAAATCATTAGGGAGGAGTTTGCCCAGCTTTGTCCTGTGGAGGCCCTGGTGGATTTGAACTGCCGGAGAGGAACCACCTTTGGATGTAACATACTACCATCTACACCACCAGTCAAAGCTCAGTTCATGAAAAGGCTTTCCTCCACCTAATCAGGCAACTAGCTAAGGCTTCCCTATAAATTCAGCTGCTTAAACACTCAACTTTTGTACAAAATTCAAAATCTATCTCTTTTATTTTGTTTCTGTGTCAGAGCAAGGGAAATTAAATTTAAAACTTCTGTCTTTTCAATTGTGGATGTTGCTTTTATGTGCTATTGAATCAAAACTGACTCATAGCTGACCCTCCAGTGGATTTTCAGAGGCTGTAAATTGCATAGGAGGAGACTGCTCATCTTTCTCCCACAGAACAGCTGGTGGATTAGAAATGCCTGTGTGTGTGGGTTGACACGAATCCTTAACCACCAGGCAACCAAAGGTAGTTAGTAGTACAAGTAGTCTGATATCTGCTGAACTAATAAAACACAGTACAAAGACTGTCATATATTTTAATCAGACTCTAATAAAATAAATGAGCTTTAATCTGAAATTTGATGCTGCTGTTCTATCACCCATCCTGTTAGCTACTTCAAGGCAAAGTCAAGCCTTTCTCTTGCCAAAATCTGTTTCCTTTGATGCATGTGTTCCAAAATATTAAATCTCATTTCACAAACTTCTCCCATTTAAAATTTACCTACCATTAAGCACACCAAATAAATTTTTCATAATCTGGTATTTCTAGAAGTATGATTCATTGGGGAGGGGAGAGAATTCCTTAAAAAGCTTTGTCTATCAGAACATCTCTCAGAAAAGCACAAAGCCTATTATTTTGCTGGAAGCTTTGAGAATGCTGCAATAAAAAAGCTTTGAACTCTGGGTAAATCAGCATTGCTCATATTTATTTGACCATTAAGCCATTTGGTTGCAACACAACTATGTGCATATTGCAGAATTCCATGGAATACGCTTTGAGAAGGGATGGCATAAACAATGGTCAAGCCGTATTTCACAGCACTAACGTCTATAAACCATGTGTGACTTGAAGTACTTCTAGCTCTTTCATTTCCTCTGTTTGATCATGTAGGAATCAATGTTTTAAGAATATGTGATCTCTTAGAGTTGGAAACAAGCAATTCTCCAGAAATCATTTGCTCTCGCTCCCAATTTTTATTTATGCTTTTAAGCAAGAGCTGCAAGTATGCTTTAGGCCTGAATTGTTATAAAGGGAATTCAAGACTTGAGTCAATGCCTGGCTCAGCTGCCTCCTGTGTCACTTTCAAAATTCTCTAATTCCTCAATGATTTCTGTGTGGCATATTTAATAGTTTGGGGTTATCAGTAACTTGTCAGGAAATGTTAAACTGCTGACCAGAAAAAATCTGAACCTACAAAATGAGATGTGAGGAATTTTGAAAGAGGCCACCAATTAATACACTGTGTTTTGACCTTTAGAGTTATGTAGATATTGAAGAATCTTTTCCATTTAAATAGTCCAAGGTGATTTATTTTGTAGAACAATTTCTATCTTGAAAAGTAATTTCTAAACAGCACCATCCCTTGGAATGAAAAATCTGGACCAGGATGAAGAAATTAATATCGTCGTCCATCAGCGAGTCAGTTCTGTGGACCAACTGCCAGAGAAGTTGGCATCTGGTATTGTTCAACCCAGAAGTCACTTAATACCTTTATGGGTAATATTTGTAATCAAAGAAGGTGTGTATTTATTTTGAGTCACTGAGCAATAAGCCAGCTTTAAGGTCTGCAGTCCACTGTGGGGTAAGTTGGCTGCATTTATGAACAACAGAGCAAGAATCTGTCCCTTTCAATGAGTTAAGAAAAGTTCTCCAACAGAGGGAGCTCTGGTGGCCTAGTGGCAAGAAGCTGCGCTGCAATCCCAGAAGTATTGGTTCGAATCCACCAGATGCTCTGCTGGAGAAGGAGGGGCAATCTCCTCCTGTACCAGTCAGATCCGATTTGACGGTACACACACACAAAAATAAATAAAATTAAAATTCTTTTAAAAAAGTTCTCTAATAGAAAAAACTCTGGATTCATCTTTATTACAAATAGAGAAAAAAAAGAATTATTATATTTATAGAATTATTATATTCATATACCTACATATCCACTTCCTAAACTACATGCCGCTGGAAACTCTATGAACTTTGAGAAATGACAATAGACATAAAAAGGCTTCAGGTCTTTTGTTCATAGGATTGCTATCAACAACGACATATACAATATACAAACACAGGAAGTTCCCCAAGTTATGACCATTTGACTTAAGAACAATTGTATCTGCCTTTCAATGTCATGTAAATTTTCCCTCACTATGAAGCAAATGAATAAATTACCCAAGTTAAACAAAAATCTTCATCACAATTACCTTGACTTGCTGTGCACTCCGCTTTTAAAGCAATGCTAAGACTTTGGACATTTTCTTGCACCAACTCAAAACATCAAACCCATTTCTACAAAGTCAGTTCCACCTCATAGCTATCTTCCATCAGGTTTCCAAGGCAATAAGTCTTTATGGAAGGAAAACAGCCCATCTTTCTCCCATGGGGTGGTTAAAGATTTAAAGACAGGGGAAGGCATCTCATTTCATAACCCAGAGACTGCTGGAGATGGCTTATGTGCAATTACTAATTAAACGACAGTACAATGTGAAAATTTATCAATGGAACAGAACAAATGAAAACTGAGAGCCTGGCTAGGGAGTATCTGTATAGCTGTCAAGGGTAAGTTTTACTGAGCCCTTACTATATGGTTGTTGTTGTTAGTGCCGTTTGCGACTCATAGCAACCCTATGCACAACAGCCCTAAACCCTGCTCTATCCTGCGCCAACCGCACTGCCCCTGACACACCCATCCCGATTACCCCAGTCACCGAATCAATCCATCTCATAGAGGGTCTCCCCTTCCTGCGCTGTCCCTCCATCCTCCCAAGCATGATGTCCCTCTCCAAGGACATGTCCCTCCTGGCAAAATGTCCAAAGTATGTCAGATGAAGCCCCAGAATCCTTGCCTCCAAGGAGTAGCTTGGTTTAATCCTCTCCAAGATGAATCTGTTTGTTTTCCTGGCAGTCCATGGTACATTCAGTACTCTTCTCCAGCACCACAGCTCAAAGGCATCCACTCTCCTTTTGTCCTCCCTAGTCATTGTCCAACTCTCTGATGTATAACAAGCGATTGCAAAGACCATGGCCTGTATCAGGCACACCTTAGTCTCCAGAGAGACACTGTTGCTCCTGAGTACTTTAGAGAGGTCCCTAACAGCAGACTTTCCCATCGCGATACACTTTTTGATTTCCTGACTGCTGGTGCGAAGAGTGTTGACTGTGGAGCCGAGCAAAATGAAGCTGTGAACACTCTCAATCTCTTCGTCATCCATCCTGATGCTGTCAATTGGTCCAGTGGTGAGAATCTTTGTCTTCTTGACATTGAGCCTCAGTCCATACTGAAGGCTGCAGTCCTTGACCCTTCGCAGCAAGTGCAAGCAGGGTTGTGTCATCTGCATAACGGAGATTGTTAATAGATCTTCCACCAATCCTGATGCCACAATTCTCCTCATAGAGCCCAGCCTCTCGGGTAATCTGCTCTGCACACATGTTGAAAAGGTATGGAGACAGGATGCATCCCTGGCGTACACCCTTCCCAATTCTGAACCATACAGTGTTACCCTGCTCTGTTCTGACTACTGCCTCTTGGTCCAAGTATAGGTTTCGCATTAGCACAATTAAATGTTCTGGGATTCCCATTCTTCTCAGAGTCAGCCACAGTTTTTTATGATCCACACAGTCAAACGCCTTTGCATAATCAATGAAACACAGATAGACATTCTTCTGGTATTCTCTGCTTTCAGCTAAGATCCATCTAACATCAGCAACAATATCCCTAGTACCATGACCCCTTCTAAACCCAGTCTGGACTTCCGGCAATTCTCTGCTGATGTGCTGTTCTAATCATTTTTGGATGATCTTCGGTAGAATCTTGCTTGCATGTGAAATCAATGACACTGTTCTGTAGTTTCCACACTCAGTCGGATCACCTTTCTTTGGAATAGGAACAAATATAGATCTCTTCCAGTCAGTTGGCCAAGTGGTTGTTCTCCAGATTTCTTGGCACAACTTGGTGAGCACATCCACGGCAACATCTGTTATCTGAAATACTTCAATTGGTATACCATCTATTCCTGAGGCTTTATTTTTTGCTATTTCCTTCAAAGCAGCTTGAACTTATTCCTTCATCATCATAGGCTCTTGCTCATATGTTATTTCATTAAATTCTTCTGTATCTGCCAATTGCTTTCTATACAATGACTCAGTATATTCCTTCCATCTTCTTTTAATACTTCCTGGAACATTTAATATTCTGCCCAAAGCATGCTTGATTATAGCAACTCTAGGTTTGAATTTGTTCTTCAGTTCCTTGAGCTTAAGAAATGCTGAGCGAGTTCGGCCCTTTTGATTTTCTGACTCTAGCTCCTCGCACATTTTATTGTAGTATTTTGCTTTGTCATTCCGAGCAGCCTTTTGGAATCTTCTGTTAATTCAGTTCCTCACCACCAATGCTTCTCAGATTTAAGGGGCATATGAATCACCCAGGGATCTTGTTAAGCTGAAAAAGTAGGTCAGGGGTGGTGCCTGATGGAATCCTGCTTTTGTGACCAACTCTCAGAGTGAGTGATGCTTCAGAAAGACTGTACTGCAGTAGCCACAACTCAAGGAGATGGGCAGTACTGCTGTTTCTCTCTTTTACAAAACAGGAAGCTCAGCTATGAAGACATTCAGTAGCTTCCCTAAGTCACACTGTTTGTGACAGACCAAGTTTTTAATTCAATAAGCCCAACCTTGTGGCTGTTTGTCTGTCTGTCTATCTATCTATCTATCTCTCCACCTTGTAGCTATATATATATATATACACACACATACATATATAACCTTGCAGATAGATATATAGATATAGATATAGATATAGAGAGATAGAGATAGATATACATATGTACATTTTGCAGATAGATAGATGATATAAATTAGATATAGACATAGATATATACATCTTGCAGATATATATCTATATATACATCTTGCAGTTATATATCTATATATACATCTTGCAGATATATATCTATATACACACCTTGCAGATATATATACACACACACACCTTGCAGATACATATATACACACACACATACACATATACCTTGCAGATATATATACACACACATACACACACACACCTTGAAGAGAGAGATAGAGATACCTTGTAGATAAAGAGATAGATAGATTTATAGATTTATGTGATTTCCAGGTCTTGTGGCTCTCTCTCTCTCTCTCTCTCTCTCTCTCTCTCTCTATATATATATATATATATATAGATAGAGAGAGAGAGAGAGAGAGAGAGAGCTTTTACTGAGGGTTGTGCTAGTAACCCAAAGGCCAAATCTCTCTGGTAGTTCGAATCTACCAGTATGTCCTCAGGAGACAGAGAGATGGACAATCTCCTCCTGTGCAATTTACAGCCTCAAAAAAACCCAATGGAGGGTCAGCTCTAAATCAATTATTTGAGGTCTATGAATGAGTTGAATGATTATATATACACACATACACACACACACACACACACACACACACATATGAAAGAAAAAGTCAACTCAAGTTTATTTTGTTTTCTTTTACATATTTTATCTCCATAATCAATAAGTTTGTTCAAAATTGTCTTGTCTAGCCCTAACAACTGGTGAGTTATTTCCACAATGTCTATTCAGCTGTGTATATTTAAATGGCAGTGACTGAATAATAATAATGTCCAATCACATTAACTGATCACAAGTTATTCAACCAGTCACAGCTTTTGACCATCCAGGTGTGCTGAATTTTGAAGTGTCAGAAGACCAAAAATATCTGACTTAAATCTAAAAATGAAGTGCGAATATTTGATCACTTAGAAATTCAGCTTGAGGAGAATTATGATGATACCAATAATTGCTTTTTACATTTTTAGATTCTGACTTCCTTAATTGTAGGATAAAATTTAAAAATATTATAGTAAATAAAATAATCAAAGAAATCTAATTATTTTTAAAACAATATTTTATAGACTCTATCTTTAATTACCTATATGACCACAGCAACAGTATCATGTGTGTAAGATGAGGACTGCACAAGCTAGAACAGGGCTCAGGACTGCTGTTTACAGAGTCACTGGGAGTAAGTCTCTACCCAATAGCACCTCACAGCCACAACATGCAAAAAAGTTGCTAATACTCTAGGAAACACAACAGATTGTTTTTACCGGAAGCAGGGGTCACAAGGAGCTTGTATCCACCGAATTTCCCTTTTGGAGCCTTCCATGAAATTTGCATACTGTCCTGAGATAACACATTATATCTTAGTCTTGTTGGTGGAGCCACTAAAAAGAGAGAAAAAAACAACAGTGTTTTCAAGTTTGAGACATTTACACTTCCATTGGTCACAATGAAAAGTCAAAGTAATGTAAACAAAATACATAAGATCTTGCCAGATCAAAATAGACTCTTAGATCACAGTCTCTTTAATAAAATCATAGGCTTGCAAAATAACAAAAATCAAACAAAACATTTGTTTCTTACACAGGAGATGTTTATTTGCTAAACAGTACTGCCCTATGACAAAGAACTAAGACATAGTATTAGAATGTAATACTGTAGAATGAATATTTTTACTGGTGTAAAATGTGTGAGTTTTCATGATTTACTTTTTTATTTTATGACGTCACCCCACCCCACCCCCACCCCTTAGAAAAAGACATTCTTCTTGGAGAGGTGGAAGGACAATGAAGGAGAAGAAGACCCTCAGCTAGGTGGATTTTTCACAGTGGCTACAGCAATGGGCCTGAGTGTGCTAGAGACTCCAAGGTTGGTACAGGATAGGCCAGGGTTCAGATCTGTTGTTCAGAGGATCGGCATGAGTTGTACTTCACTCAAAAGTACCTTACAACAACATTTTATGCCTTTAAATATTTTGTTCTGATGATGTGATGAGAATGTATTATGGCAATTCAATCTTCATTTTAAAATATTTAAGTATGAGTGAGTTGTCATGACATTTAGAACCAAATAAACAACAATTATGTTAGACAAACTGTGATCTACTCTTCAAGCCTAACGAACTTAAACCTGGCACAAAGACATAGCACGTGTTTATGTATCAGCCCAGATTCTTTAATCTCCTCTGACATTTTACTAAAATGGTAGCTTCATCTGTCATGTAAGTCATTCCAAGTGCAAGTACATGTTTTTGGAAAGCCTATTTAATTTGAAAATAAATAAACTTTGTGAGAAGATGATCATCACATAAAATCTAAATTAGTCAAAAACTAAAAGTTCACACCTAAACAGAAAACACACCTCCTATTACTTTTATGTTTAATCATTATTTCTCACTTTAGGAAGCAGAGTGTAAGGAAGGTAAGGAAACTAATATTCCTTAATGAATGTTGTTGTTATTGTTGTTGTTGTTGTGTGCCATTGAGTCATCTGTGACTTTTAACAACCCTATGTACAATAGCTCTGAAGCCTGCCCTGTCCTTAGCCAGTCTCACTGACTCCAACGCATCTACATTGCCCTAGTTACTGTATTAATCCATCTTATCCAGAGTCTTCCTCTCCTGTGCTGTCCCTCCATCCTTCCAAGCATGATGTCCTTCTCCAAGAACTGGTCCCTCCTGGCCACATGCCCAAAGTATGTGAGACGGAGTATAAAAATCTTTGCCTCCAGCAGAGGAAAAAAAATCTTTGCCTCCAAGGAGACAGTTACTTTCACCCTCTCCAAGACAGACCTATTTGTTCCCCTGGCCTTCTACGGTATGTTTAATATACTTCTCCAGCACCACAATGTATGTAGCATAATATGAGAACTGGACATTGTACTCATACCACACTTACCAACATAGTTAGGTTCCAAAGATCTAGTCATTATAGCAAAAGCATCATTTTGTAAGAATGGAGGGTGAGGTGAGCTATGGAGGCCTATGGCAAGAAGGTGCACTGCAATCCCAGAAGTGCATGGTTCGAATCCACCAGATGTTCTGCTGGAGAAGGAGGGACCATCTCCTCCTGTACCAGTCAGATCTGATTTGAGAGTATACACACACACACACACACACAAAATAGAGAGAGAAAGAGAGAGGGAGGAAAGGATGGAGGAAAGAAGGGAGGGAAGGAAGGGAGGGAGGGAGGGAGGGAGGGTGAGCCCTCCAGATCATGGAATGGAAGATGTCTCTACCTCATTACACAGCTTCCGAGGAACACCATGGCACAACCACCAACCCACTGAGACTCACAGCCTAGCCAGGGTGATGCGGGACCTTAACCATCCGACTCACTCTCACTTTGCACCTCAGTGTTTGCCACTGTCAGCTGCAGATTGCTAATGTGGAAAATAGTTGACAGGAAACTTTTTTCATTATCGCCGTAAAGACAGACTAGTCAGATAAAGAGACAGTTGATATGACGAGTAGTTGTAGAGGACAAGAACAAAGAGAAAAGGATAATGTGGGTAGGTTTTCTCGGCTGCAGAAAAAGGGGCAGAGTCTGAAGGAAATACTTGGGGAGGTTGGTATTGGAGGACTGGAAAGGGAGTTGGATAGACTTTAATGGATTGAGTGACTGAATTTTCCTGAAACAATGTAGGAAGGACGCTAAGGCTGTTGGGTAAATAAGTGAAGGCACACATACAGAAGACAGGGTGTGGGGGGGATTGCAGAAATCAGCGGAGCCCTCACCTAGACCCTTGCCAGTCAAAGCAGCCAAGGTGCATTCATAGATCTGCCGAAGCAGCTCTGACCCCCAGACTAAGCTCTTTCTGTGACATCTACCAGGAGGAATAAGGGAATCTTTTAATGTCCCACTGAACCTCAGACCTAGAGAGTTTAATGTGCCTCTGAAAAAATGAGAATAAAAGATTGTTTGCACTACGATTGTAAATGGGAAATGCCAGATAATGGGGTGGTGGGTAGTGGGCAGTAGGCATCGTGTGATTCCCAGTGCTGCTTTTGTCTTGAAGAAACTTTAAGCACATACATTATTGTCCTCGAAGCCTCCATTTCTTTGTTTTTTAAGGCCATATCAGTAGTACTTTTCGATAATTTTCAATAGGGTAATGGTGTAACACATCATAAAGGTGGTCAGTAAGTATTCGTCCTACCTCCTTACATCATCTAAAAGTTGGTCTCAAAATGCTATTTAATCCTTACAATAATGCATTGATTTCTTACATATGAATAAGCAGAAGCTAAAGGCCTGGTCACATACTGGTGAGAGATAGAGAGTCGGAGCTCTCCAAGAACAGAGGAAAACCTTCATGACACTGACAGCATCTGGGACCCTGGGCTCCAACACAGCACTGACGCTGAGGATGGCGGGCCCGGCGGCATCTTGTTCTGTTGCACGCAGGCTGCGATGAGTCAGAAGCAGCCTGAGAGCATCAAAAGACAACAGCATCCTCAGTAAAGAAGGCTAACTGTATGCACACCCATGTTTATTGTGGCTTTGTTCACAATAGCAAGGAGTTGGAAACAACCTAAGTGCCCACCAACAAACGAAGCTGTGGTATATTCACGCAATGTAATATTACACTGCACTGAAAAACAAGGAACTCATGCAGTATTATTCAAAATGGATGACCCTGGAGGACATTATGCTGAGTGAAATATCTCAGTCACAAAAGGACAAATACTGGATGGTGCCACTGTTGTAAAACAGGACTGACATCGGGGTTGGGGGGAGACTGAGAAAATGGGTTGAATAATATATACTGCATTGAAACAGATGAGGGAGAAAACTGTTTAAAAGGGATATGTGATTAGGTATTTTTGTCGTGACAGGAGTCCAGAGCGAAGGCTGCATAGTGGAGTGGACCTAGGGGGAGGGAATGTACAACAATGAAAGAATTTTTCTCTTACTTTTCCAAGAGGGTAGTGTACTAGGGGTGAGGGTTGGGAGGGGAGAAAAGTGCAACAATGAATGAATGGAAATTCAAAGTCTCTGTAAATTTTCATTGATATTAATTATAATTTTTTAAAAAAAGGCTAACTGTGCAAAACAAAAACATCTGCTCCCATTCTCAAGTCAACAAGAATTCAAGAGCTTCCATTTCTTATTACTTGTAAAATATTAAATTATCAAAAGAAAAGACGCCTTCAACGACAAAGTGGCCAGCCCTAACATTGGGAGGGAGCTCTAGCGGTAAGAAGTTGCCCTGCCAACCCAAAGGCAAGCTGTTCCAACCCACCAGTTGCTCCTTAGAAAGATGAGAACTCTCCTCCCATGCAGTTTACGGCCTCAGAAAGCCCGCTGGAGGGCCAGCTGCGAATTAGCTCTCACTCAAGGCCACTCAGCAACAAACCTGACACTAGAGAGCTTTGGTGGCCTAGTGCATAGGAAGCTGTGCAGTTAATCCAAAGACTGTTGCCTCTCTGGTGGTTCAAATCCACCAGTGGGTTTGTGGGGAAAAGATGGGCAAGCTCCTCTCATAGAATTTACAGCCTTGAGGTCAGCGAGGAGCTCGTTCTGATTCACCAGCAGTAAGTGAGTTTTTTAAACTTAACATTTGTGAGTTAGTTACTCTTTTGCTAGATTTGCAACTCCAAGGAAATAATCTAATTAGAGATAGGCCCTTATTACATAGAAAAGAAAATTAAATCTAGTCATTAAAATACTTTAAAACAATAAATCCAAGTTTCGGAGCCAAAAAAAGTTAATATACTGGAGAGGCATCATTGGCAAGCTGACTGCAGAGTTTTGCACGAACGAAAGGAGGCTGCATGCAGGAGAACATCAAGGGGAAACGGACTGCAAGTGGGACGAGGTTTCAGCTGATTCTGCTAGCAACCCAGGCGTGTGGCCACAAGGGGAGCAAAGATTTAACACCACTCCGGATTCCTAGGCTAAAGTGTGGATTTACAGGGTGGTGCGAACAGTTAACACACTTCACTGTTCTTCAAAAGGTTCCAGGTTTGAGTCCAGCTAGAAGGACCTCAGAAGAAACACCAGGCCTTCTACATAAAAAATATCAACCACTAAAAACAACAACAAAAACCCACAAAAAACCAAACCAACAACAACACCAACCCACCACAAAGAACAAACAAGTTTGCTTGAAGAAAGTACAACCAGTTGGCTCCTTAGAGGCAAGGATGGTGAAACTTGGCTCGCACATACTCTGGGCCTATTGGTAGGAGGGGCCAGTCCTTGGAAAAAGACCTCCCGCTGGGAGAGGTCAGTGGAAGAGAGGAAGACCCTCAACGAGGTAGCCTGACATAGTGACTGTAACAGTGGGCTCAGGTATATCAGAGATGATGAGGATGGTACAGCACAGAGCAGGGCATATAGATCTGCTCTTCATAGGGTTGCTATGGGCCGTGTCTGCTTG